GCCAGAAGCACTGGGCAACATTTAAGAGGCCAAAGCAGAAGGAGCAAGGGAAAATACAGAGGTAACAGGAGGCAGTGGGTAGGCCTTCAGCTTTCTCTGCAGGTGGGATGGGGACTCTAGATTTTAAGGAGAAGAATGGCCAAGAGCTCCAGGATCGTGAGACAAGCACAGTCCTGCGTAATGCAAAGAAGGGATAGGAGATCTAGGAAACTGAAACTCTAATTGTAGCTGGGGGAGGTGGGGGGTGGAGAGCAGCATTTGGGAGGAGGCAAAAAATCAAGGGAAGTGAGGACAGCATATATAGCGTGTACAAAGAAACGTGGTAAGGAAGGCATGCCCCTGCACACTTCTCCTGCGAGGTCACCAATGGTGCACACGAGCAAAGTTGCAGGAGTTAGGGCAGAAAGAACAGGTGGACTCAGACCATATTGCCCAGGAAAGAGAAAAGAGCAACCCCGATGAAGGTGTCCACAGTCAGCCCTTGCTGACAGCTGCTGGCACGTGCCAGCACCCGGGTCTTGGTGCACACCGACAGCGATGCTGTTGGGGTACCCACCTAACTGCCATAAGACCATAGAGGTGGTGGTAATAAGAAACTGTGCCTGGAACTCTGCTGTTAGATCCAGGGTACTTAGCTTGCTCAAGGTAGGTTATTGGAACTAGAGCAGGTGTTTATGCTGGGTCCCTGGGGGCATGAGAGGCTTGGCAGGTGCTCACTCAGGGCTCCCTGTGTCCTGGCCAGATGTGAGCCTGGGCAGGCCAATGCCACCATTTTCCTGAAGATTACCCCCAAAGCACTGATCCTGAGATGATGGGGTGACCAAAGGGCCCTGGCTTGCTGTGCTCTGTCCACATGTCCTGAAGTCCAGGCACTCTGTGTCTATATGCTCTTCTCAGACTGGGGTGTCCGTGTGCTTATTTCTGTCAAGCCTTCACTAGAGACCTTTGAGGGAAGATCTCCAACACAGATGAGCGAGATGAAATGCACTTCTGCATGCTGCCTAGGAGACGGGCACCCCTCCCTGCACAGATCTCAGGGCGGACAAGGGATATACAGCAGACAGGGTCACAGTTTAAGTGAACAGACTGTCCACACAAGTGGTCTGGAGAATGCAAGGAAGAAATGGGGGAAAACCAGCCATGCCTTCGGCAAAGAGGAGACAGCACAACCTGCTAAGCATGAGATACTAGAGCAGAGATAAGGAGGCTGAGGAGTGGGACAGAGGATTGACTCATATATAGCACAGAGAGAGAAGTAGAGTTGTCATCAGAAATAAGACACTGCAGTGTAAGATGGCAACATCTGAGCATTCCCTGATCAGTGCACCATTACAGGTTGAATTATATCTACCACTCCCACCAAAAGATATGCTGAAGTCCTAACCCCCAGTACTAAATGAACTCTTACTTGAAATGGGGTCATGGTAGATTGAATTAAGAGGAGTTCATGCCAGAGGATGGTGGGCCCCTAATCCAGTATAACCAGTGCTCTTACATGAAAATGGCCAAGTGAGGACATAGAGACGCACAAGGAGAAGGCCATGTGAACACAGAAGCAAAGACCGCGTGATATTGCCACAAGCCGAAGAATATCTGGGGTGACCAGTGCTGAAAGAGACAAGAAGCATCCTCTCCTACAATCTTAAAAGACCACTGTGTTTTTCCTGTATTAGGCAACTAACTGAATTATGAAAAGGGCCACCTCTGTGTAAAGGCAAATTGTCCTGGGTGCAACTTAACCACAAGTACCACATCTGGACACAAAAATTGTGCATGCCATAGTTAAAAGGTCCTATATTCTAGACCTCTCTCCTGCTAAGACAATTCTCTTCTGTCAAACAAAACTGTTGGCAAAACCAAAAAATGGCCAAAACAAAGAAATGAGTCCTGATTATCATCATATGCAAGCAGCTGTTAGCTGAGCAACAGCCTGAGATGTATAAGTAATGAACCCTGTTTGCTCACGTCTATGAGTGAGTGTCATGAAACCACATTTCCCATCAGCAGGCTTGGGCTTTCCTAGAGTGGGCTCTCCAATGCAGAGGGAGCTCCCGATGACTGTCATGAGGCAGGCTTGGGCCTCCTCATTCAGCAGGCCATCATCTGCATATTCGTAGCTGACCACACCAGCTCCGGGTTTTCCAGAACACCCACTCAGCTCTATCAACAGTAAATCCAAACCTCTGCTCTGCATTTGTTTCCTGCATGCCTTGATTCTCAATCAGCTGAGAACTCTGGAGAAGAATATAAGAGCCTCATTGAATGGGTCGCTAAAATCACAACAGGAAATAGGATCCTTTTTGGATACTGCAGAACTAACTTTGTTTTCAGCTTGTTTGGGTTTCTTTATTTGTTTTTGTATCCTTTAAGGGGAAAGACATCTGCACAGTTTTATAAAAAGATGGCAGTCATCACTAGAGAGGAAGAAATCTGAGGCTATGGAAAAAAAAGGGCGGGGGGGGGGGGGGAGGAATAACAAATACGCAAACAATCTCAAGTAAAGAAAGAAAATTTCTCCAGAACACAGCAGGGAACTGAGACCAGGGCGTCTGGTTACACAGCAGGTGGGATGCAAAGGACAGATTCCAGTGAGGTCAGTAAGAATAGAGGCCCCTGCTTCCAGGTTCAGCTTGGGGACAGAAGCAGAACTAAGTGGAGTCAGAGACCAGAATCTGTCCTGGATGGTCAATCAGAGCAGAAAACCAGGGCCAACCAGGAGTAGAGACAGTATCTTGGGGCTCAGTAGAAGAATGCAGTGCTCCAACAGGACCAGGAGACGGAAGAAACACTCAACACTCAAGAAATCTCTGCTCTCTGCCCTGGGAGTGAGGGCCTTCTTTGGTGGGCAGGTGAGGGCAGCAGCACCATCCGGTGCCATGGGAATTAGGATGACAAGGTGAGTCGAGGGTGGCTTTACCATGTTTACCTTGGACTTATCTTCAATTTTTCAGTGGTTGGATTCTATCATATATAAACAGCAGCACACTTTAGGAACCTAAAACATTACTCATTATGTTCGACAAATACTGACAGCGCGCCTACGGTGACTGTGCTAACAAGCACAGTTAGCTCTCCCATCGCCCTTCTCACATCACTTGGCTCTCAGACAGAAAGGATTCCACCCAGAGGTTAATGGAATCAGACCATCTGATCAGCCAGTGGGTACTGGAGTCACATGCAAAGAAACAGTCCACGTTTACAACTCATGCTATTACCTGAATTATTTTTCCAGGATATTCTTCAATGGGTCACTTTTGGGAAAAGAGAGAGAGAGAGAGAGAGAGAGAGAGAGAGAGAGAGAGAGAGAGAAAGAGAGAGAGATGGTATTCCTAATGACTTTTTACTTTGCTTTGGACACACTCTAATTACACTGCCTTTGGTTGGGGGGCAGGTGATTCTGATTTTTAACTAGAAACTTTGCTTGGTCAGTAAAAATCAACAAATGAACAGAAAGAAGAACTTTAAGTAAACAAAGGAATGCTCCAGGGCCCAAAGGGGTCTAAAACCAGTTCAGTGGAAATAATGTTAATGAAGAAAATCTAGTTACAGCTGCAGTTTAGGAAAACAATTCATGGTGCCCTTTGGAAGCTACAGAATCATTTAAATTACTGGAGAAAGTTGATGAGGAGATTCTCTTTTCTAGAGGGAGTCTTTTAAAGGCAACCTGGTGGCTAGTTGAACTATATTATCTGGAAAAATGCTTGTGTCATGTTTATATACACATACAAATAAATATGCATAAATAATGAGCCAAAGCCAGTGGTTCTCAGCCAGAGGCGTTTTTCTCCCCCAGAAGACCCTTGGAAACTTCTGGAAACTGTTTTACTATCACAACTAGTAGAGGGGTGCTATTGCATCTAGCGAGTAGAGGCTAGAGATACTGCTATCCATCCTATGATAACCAGGACAGCCCCACACCACACACATATCAAAGTATTATCTTTTTCTCAGTGCTGAGGTTGAGAAATTCTGGTCTATATAGTTAGCTTGTACTTGACAAAAGGCCAGTAAACCTTTGTAGAATTTAAAAGTTCAAAATAATCAATATTATAAGGGAAATTTCAAGATTTCATCTTCATGCAGACTATTGAATAAAGGTATGTCCTGTGGTGTGTGTATCTAAAACACTGTGTGTACAGGCACATTCATACATGAACACCTACGTATACAGAAAGCTCAGTTTCTGCTGGAACTCCACACTCAGGACTGCTTAGTGAGCACATGACCAATTTCTAGTCCAAGATTGAAAAGAAGTCTTCTGGGGGTTTCTGGTCTCTTTAAAAATAAAATAAAACAAAACAAACAAAAAAAAACAAAAAAAAAACCACCACAAACCCAAAAAAATACGAGGAATATCCTTTTTTCTTCTGGATATTGTCACACCTGGATGCAGGGCCAGGAACTACATCACTGATCCTGCATCCCCAGCAGAGCCAGCTTGAGACTGTGGATGGCACAGTGTAGGTGGCAGAGAGACCAGGGACAGAGCTTATGGACTCTGGTGCCATCGAACCAAGTAACTCTGAAGATGCCTCCCGCGGTGTTCTAATTATGTGACTTGATACTTTTTTTAAATCGATCAAGCTCTTTGGAGCTACCTTTTACCCAGTGTCTGAAAAATTCATGAAATTACAGGAATTTCCTGTTTTTAGATATACAATGAGAAGTTAAGAAAGAACATACATGAATCTACAGATACCTTTGATACAATATCAAATTTCCTGAACGTCAAACAATAGCATTGTTTGAGACATCGTAAGTTCGACGAATGGTCCTATCAACGTTAGCCCTGTTACTTGTGGTTCACAGTGTTGACAGTATCTGATCCCTTCTATCCTAAAGAGTCCCATACAATGCCTTCCACACGGATGTACAAAACAACTGACATTTTGATTTCTTTAGAAAACAAAGAAATTGAGTTGTGACAGTTTGCTGGTTACCAAGTAACCAGGCATGACAGACAAACAGGGTGGACCATGGGCAGTGACCATAAGACTTACCATTGAGCCACTTGGAGTTGTACTGGGCCGTGCGGAGAGGAGGTAAGATGCCCAGACTCCGGTAAATGGCAGGATCCCGTCCCGGAAAATCCATGGCTGTGGCAGCATACAGTTCCCCGCTGGCTGTGAGAAGAGCCGTGGAATTGTGCTGGGGACTGTAGGGACAGCGGGCCATGCCACTGATCTGATCATGGATCTTGGTCAGGTTACTCAACTGTGGGTGAGGACCAGAGAGAGGAAACCGATTATCCCCCTGAAAGCCCTTTAAGAGCATTAACGGATTACGTCTGCCCAAACTGCAAAGGATACATAAGTGATAAACTTTCTGGGGCTCAGGATAAGACAAGACAGATGTGTGCACTCTGACTTTGATGAAAACACTCTTTGGTGGACATGGACAGAGAACCCACCTCCCTCATCGTCCCTTCACGCTTGCTGGACCTCAAACCATTAAACTCTCACAAAATGCGAAGTAAGATTATGGTACATGGGTCCTTTTTTTTTTAAGATTTTATTTATTTATTTATTCATGAGAGAGACAGAGAGAGAGAGAGAGAGGCAGAGACACAGGTAGAGGGAGAAGCAGGTTCCATGCAGAGAGCCCGATGCAGGATTCAACCCTGGGTCTCCAGGGTCTTCCTGAGCTGAAGGCAGTCGCTCAACCACTGAGCCACCCAGGTGTCCCGACTGTACATGGGGCCTATTTATGATGCATGGGCACTACAGATCCCTCCACTTTAATAAAGAAAACTTCAATATTTACAGAAATGCAAACCACAATAAAGACTATGTACAATTTTATCACTACAAGGGAATTAAGATGTTACAAATAGCCCAAAACTGTGCTCACAGATAAGGATACATGCTATTTTGTACTGTGCAACCCAAATTTCCAAGACTTTATATCATCAGTTTTTAGACAGACAAGTCAGGCATCTGGTATGAACCCAGGCATCTGGTGGCTAGATTCCCAACCAATCACTGAATGAGAAAAGTTCCACCAGTTTCTTCATCCTGACCTAGGTCGTAACAGAGCAGAAGGACTAGACAGGGTATCTAGACACTCTGTTTGCTCTGCTGTCAGAGGGTTAGCTCCAGGGAAGTTACTAAAATCCTTACACCTTAAACTCTTGTTTTAACACACAGGGACCAAAAAACTCAGCACCACTTTGTATAGATAACCACCACCTGAGTAGGTGCAAAGTGTTGAGAACAGGGCATGAGACAAAGGCCTCTCTCTGTAACACTTATCCTCCTCCTCATCTCCCTCATATTTCCAATAACCGAATGTTATTTTGAAAATATTGCAGATGATAAATTCAGGCTCTGAGAGTTTTGCAACCAAGAAATCAACATAAAATATTTCTTTATTATCCTCCCTGCAGAACATCACACTAATATCTCAAATTAGGAAGACTGCATGTGTGCTGTGGCAACCCTGCAGATCTACAGGTGTGAGAGGCAGGCGCTGGAAAGCCCTCTGCCAAAAAGGATGGGTTAAAAAGGAAAAAAAAAAAAAAAAGAGGTCAGGATGGAACTTTACTTTGCCCAGGGCTTCATTTGTTGGCTAGCTTCAATTTTTTGACATTGTTCTTACCCAATTTATAAATTATATTTTCTTCATTTTAATTATAATTTTTTTTACAGATTTTTTGCATTTATTGGAAAGAGAGAGAAAGAGCAAGAGCAAGAGAGAGAGAGCACAAGTGGGGTAAGGAGCAGAGAGTGAAGCAGGTTTTCCGTTGAGCAGGGAGCCTGACATGGGGTTCAAACTCAGGACCCTGGGATCATGACCTGGGCTGAAGGCAGATGCTTAACTTGACTGAGCCACCCAGGTGCCCCTGGATTATGATTTTAAGGCCATTTTAATACTTGTCAGTATCTCTATAATAAACCAGAACAAATGAAGAGTATGTTGAGGATTAGTGCTTGGGATCACTGGTGGGGAAAAGCTGGTAGAAACAGTTGAGAAACATATTTGGATTTAATTAAACAAGCTATAGCTACTTCCAGCTCTTTATATCATAGGCAGTATGATTAGTAATAAATCAATACATCAAATATTTATTCAATTTGAAAAAAGACTTTTTCTTTGGTTTAAAAAACAAGTCCTTAGAGAACAGAAATACATGTAAAACTACAGATTTAACAGAATGTTTGGATTTTCCTGGTATTAGATTGTGTCAGGGATCAAGATGAAGACCTACCGTGCGGTTGGTGCAGACAGGTGTGAAAGCATTGGTCCCACAGGTAAATAACCGGTCACCACTCACCAAAAGCACCCGGATGTAGTTTTGACATTCCTCCTGAAAAAAAGTCCACATGAAACATGTTAACAAGGCCTGAGCTCAGAAGAAATGGTGAAACTGAATATAATTTGACTGGTTAACAAATTATATGGTAATTGACCACTAAAGGAAAAAAAAAAAAAAAACCTCTTAGATCTTGACCCCCTCCCCAAGAAACAATACAACTGTTAAATAATCTGACCTTCTCCATCTGTACGCCTGTTCAACAGAAGATATTAATGAAGATAAATATATACATTCACTTAAAATCTCAAAGCATGTATCTTTTTTTGATGAATGTGGTTTCATTTTGAATTGTACCTGTTAACAGTGCAAACTGGAAATCTCCTTTGATATGTGTTAGGAGAATAAATAAAAGGAAACTGTTGGATGCCACTCATGAAAAGATGTCTTAGAAATCTTCTCTGGAAGTTTGAAAAAAAATGTTACGAATGCTTCTGCAAAGGCAAGGGTCACATGTGAAGCTCTGTAAACAAACTGGGACAAATTTTCAAAAAGTTTTCAACTGCTGTTCCATACACAGTAAGAATCTATGAACATTTCTGAGTCTTGATGGAGAAGTAAAAATGTAACTCATAAGGAAAGGATGTCCAGAACATGTGGGATAAAACCCCATGCTGAGTGATGACCCAGAGTCGAATGTTTTGTGCTTGCAAAGTATGCATAGAAAATATGGGGTACTGTCATCGTAGCGCATGGGCCTCAGCCAGCATTTACTGATTAGATAGTCTTTGGCATTGTGCTACAGGTCACAATCCAGGCACTTAGCAGGAAATGAAAATACAGGGCCATAACAACTATTACAGAGTTGTGCAGAGAACAGAATGTTGCTACCTCCAGAGGGAAGGGGAAGGGGAGAGATGCAGGAAGCCTTCCCAGAGGAGGTGACATCTAATGTAAGTTTTAAAGGAAGGACAGAATTTAATGAGGCTTCCTGGAGGAAATGCCACCTGACACACATAGGATTTTAGTGGCCTAAAGTGGAAAGACATTCAGGGTGGGAGGTGGGATGGACCGTGCCGAGGCACCGTGCCTCACGAAAATATGGTGCTTTCCTTGGGTATGGAAGAGGTAACACAAATACCATGGAGTCAGAAAGGTCCAGCTGTGCCTAGTGAATTTGAATTTTACTCCGAAAGCAAAAGGACTCATTTTCTGTTTTCATTGCATGAAGTCTGATCTGATCCAGTATGAAGGAGCACTCCATGTAGAAGCTAATCTTGTGACAGGGAGATTACAGTTCGGGAGACGGGCAAGGAAACCACTTCCCCAACTGGGGCCCTTGTCCCTTAGTGCCCGGACTGGGTGGGAGGTGTGGAAGGGCACGACCAGAGTGCAGTGAGCCACCAGGATGCGGTAAGGAACCAAGCAAGGGACCAGAGCAGATGTCGTGTGATCCATGAGGATTTGAATCGCACATTGCCCTGCATAAGAAGCTCTGGATTGTATGGCTTGGCAACACTCTCTTCAATCTGAGTGGAACCCCCATCTCCAGGCGGTGTTGATTTGCCATAACTCAGCCTCCTGGTGTCCTGGCCCTAAGGATGATGAAAAGAGCTAAATCTGGGGATCTGCTTTCTAAATATGAAGTAAAATGTCAAGGGTAGATACTTCTCCCAATACCATAACTTAGCAAGAATAGTAAGAAATGATCACTGGCGACTAATCTGAACACACGTTGAGAAAAATAACAATAACAAAAAGGAATGAAAGCTCTAAGTTTGATATCAGAAGAATTAACAAATGAATGTAAACAGTGGGCGGTATGTTGGGTAGCTGAGAAATGGAGAGGAGGCTTGTTTTGTTCTGTTCTATTTTGTTTTTGTGACTGGAGAAAGGGCAGAGAGTTCAAAAGAGAAAGAACAAAATATGGCTTCAAAGAGCCACATGGTCATCCCTTCCCAGGCTGAGGGAGCACAGGGAGGTTACGGAGGAGGGGCGCGGCGGCCCAGCCAAGTTAGGGAGCACGGGGGCACCGGGGTCTGCAAAGACAGGATAAAGGCGAGGCTGGAAACGCGAAGCCTAAGCAAGGTCTGAGGGAGACTCCAAAAAGGCACCTTGGAGCACACAGGGCAGAGAGGGCTTGGTGCCTCAGCACATAAAACAGACACAGAAATGACACTGCCATGCCTAGGAGACAGGAAGTTCCCAACAGTGGAGAGAGGTAGGGATTTGGCTTGTTTTCTGTTGTGCTTTTAGAACTCTTTCCAGGAGGAGTGAAGATGTACAAGAACCTTTAAGGTGTCATTTTATTTTTTTCCTTTTGCTTGTAAAGATTTTATTTATTGCTTTATTCGAAAGAGAGAGTGAGAGAGAGCGAGTCCAAGCAGGGGGAGAGACAAGGGAGAGGGAGAACCAGACTCCCCACTGAGCAGGGAGCCCGATGCAGGGCTCAATCCCAGGACCCCAAGATCATGACCTGAGCTGAAGGCGGACACTTCACTGACTGAGCTCTGCCCCCCACCCAAGGTGCCCCTTTTGTTGTCATTTTAAATCAAGAGACGAACACATATCCATGAACACAGTCAGGGGTAAGTTATTCCAAGATCCCAAGTGAAAGATGCTGTCTATAGACCTGGGGGAGAGAAAGCAAGTGCCTCTTATCAGTTCTGGGAAGGACAGAGCACAGGACAACACAATGTTTATCTCCCAAAAGAAAGACAAAGTGAAAATAGGACCAAAGATCATTAACACCCGTGAAGGCCCATCACAAACATGACAAAGAACTGGAAGGATGGTTAGGGAGGGTGATCACCAGGATGCAGAAGTGTTCCAGGGAGGCAGGACAAATCCAACACATAATTTTTTTTTAATCTTGGAAAAAAGTAAATAAGGGCGGGCACAATATTATTTAAGTTGGAACAGAGAAGTGTTAACAAGCCTGTTCGAGTAACCAGGACCATGTGAGAACACCTTGGCGGCTCTACTGTCTGAGAAGGGTCACGTGCCCATGCACCATGGATCACCTCCCAGCTCAGTGAGTCTGCAGAGCGGGAGTATGGAGAAACAGGCCAGGGACCAGGGTGATCAGACATGGAGCTCTGTGCAGTCCTTCCCTCAAGGATACAGGACAGACCCATCCCTGTGGTCCCGAGTTGCTTGAGATATATGGGACCTGACCAGTGTAATGTTCTAGATGAGTCCAGTATGCCAACCAGGGTGCACTGGAGGAGGAGGAGAGGAGGGGAGGAGGAGAAGAAGAGGTCAGAATTATCACTAAGGAGGCTAGGACGGTATGCTCGCTCCTCGTGTTCTGTAAGAGGAACTTTGGAGGCAGGTGCACTTCTGGGTCAAGAGCTTCTTAACTGTCAAGAGCTGAAGTCATCTGCCCAAAGTCTGGCTCAACTCATCTCAGAGCTTTCCCTGTTCTCACTCCCTTAAAAGTCCCCTCATGTTTAATTCACAGACTGCTTCCACTGATTCTAGAAGCAGGCAGGATGTGAATCCTAAACAAATAAGTGCATCTAAAATCATGTTTTTAAAGAACAATTGGGGTAAGTTCAGACAAAACAGATGCAGACCACATAGGAATGGAAGAAAGTAGAGGTACTTAGCTTTCAACCAACAAATAAATTTAGGAAATCAGAGAGTCAAAATTAAGAATGAAAGGAATGAAGCCCCAGCTCTGTAATAATCAGTCTCCTGCTGAAAATCTAAGACCCAAATTCTCCTGCGGAAAATCTCCTGGTGGATCACGTTGTTGGTCATGGCTACAAATGTGGCTGTTTTCCAGGCTATCTAAAGTCTTAGAAGTACAGGCATGACAGAGAAGTCCCTTTAGGAAATTCTGTCATAGGTTTGTCTTAAAAATCAACTTACCTAAATATCTTTGAATTTCCCTTTCTCATCTAAGAATTTTTTCTCTTTTATCCCATTTCTGTATCTTGAAAGTGGTTTAAAGGAATATAATGAATTCTGGTTTTCCAAGAAGTCGTAGTGCTCATTTCCAAGGCCGCGAGCAGCCCCCACCACGCGGCTTCTGTTGTTGATAATGAGAGTCATCTATCTACATTTTGATAATCCCACTTGAACACTGAAACGACCCATGTGCGCCTGTGATCCCACAGGCGGGTCAACCTGTCCTTGGCTTCAAACCAATTCTTATTTGAATTGATAGCTGGGGTGCATAGTTGCTGACTCACTAAACCAGCTTTGAGACAGAGGCAGGCCAAGGTCCACGTGGTCTCAAGGACATATGGCCTTGACCCCAGGACAGAAAACACACGTCTTTTTTTTTTTAATTTTTTTATTTATTTATGATAGTCAGAGAGAGAGAGAGAGAGAGAGAGAGACAGGCAGAGGGAGAAGCAGGCTCCATGCACCGGGAGCCCGATGTGGGACTCGATCCCGGGTCTCCAGGATTGCGCCCTGGGCCAAAGGCAGGCGCCAAACCGCTGCACCACCCAGGGATCCCAGAAAACACATGTCTTAAGGACCTTTGTTTTGAATGAGTTAACTGGTTTTTCCCTTATAGTATTTCATCATTTCCCCCCTTTCCAAACAGGTATGTTCTACTTGAAGAAAGATTGTCACTGTGTAGGCGGATGATCTGTAAACAGGGTAGATGTCTCAGCAACGCCAGCCCATCTTTGTTAGGAGTGGGGGATGTGGGCTGGGAGCCTGGCAGCGTTTATGGTAATCACAGCGCTCCCAGTGAAAGCAGCATGTCTCCCTAAGCGATGCATCACCTTTCCGAGCATCCAGAGCACCGAAGAGCAATTTATAGTAACTGCACGTGCCCCTTATGTTGACTGTATACTTACTGAAAGTCACAATTACCAGGTGAATCTTGAGGAACTGTATCACCCGATCAGATGTATATATATTTATATAAATGGCATATATACAAATGAGACATACATGTGTAAATCCTGTATATAAGAGACACATGTATTACATAGGTAGGCATGTGCATACAGGTTTCAAAAGTTTTTTTTTTCTTTTCTTTTTAAAGATTTTATTTATTTACTTTGAGAGAGAGTGCATATAAGCATGAG